ACTTATGTTACTTCTCTTTGGGTACAGAACGTGAGAAGTAAAAAAACCATAACTCTCCGCAACCCAAAACACTTTTCAACTACCTAGACATACATCTAAAGCAATAACCAATTCGCTACTTCCACTAAGTAAAGTTTGAAAATCTTGAATTAGTTATATTTTATTACTAGATCTGGCATTCTTATAACCATTCGTATAACATCTACGATCCCGCCTCGTGAGATTTGAACCCAGGACCTATCGGTCTTGTCGTGAACGGTGCTAATGTCTAACTTCAACCAATCCATAAAACTGAGCAACCTTCCACCATTTTCTCCAGTGAGTTACTATCTCACAACAGATCATGGATGTGCACTGCTGAGGAGTCCCACACTAGGACGAAACGGCCATTCAGTGCTATCAGGTTTTCCATGGTGGTCTAGCTTCAATTGACTCATGATTTCAACTATAAAAATACATTTGTTGTTAAATACAACGTTGACTAGTCTTCATTTTATAATAATGATCACTTATGACAAATGAATTATCTATCAATCATCCTTGCTCTTCTTACAAATATGACACGGATTTATCCTTAACCATATTCAGTAGTTATACGACTATAGAAGACTGTGGAATTAACAATAGCTTAAACTGTTATCGAAAATCTATCAACTACTTTGCACAGCTAAAAAATAACTGTTCATTAACATTTACATCATGAAAAATGATCTTTTAATTATTTTACGAATATGGTATGCACAGTAACTAGGCGAAACAAATAATCACTTCTTCAGCATATTTCGTGAGCCATTATTCTTATTAACCGACTAACTCCATGATTTACAGTACTGAATGGTTAGTAGTTAATGAATATATAACATATCACTGATACGCCAGCCGTTTAGTTGTAGGAAATACTGATAAACTTTCCGAGTTTGATAATGAAATACCGTGACGAGGATATCATTCAGTGTGTTATAACGCTTGGATTTTCACGTCTACACGAATAGGACGTTAATTTACCATAGATGAATATATACACTAGATTCCCTCCCAGTGTCTATTCTACAGGACTTTAACACAACTCAGATCAAGAACAAATGATTAACCTGACTAGAATGTGAACATATTTCCACACTAAAACCCACCAACAATCACAATAATAATAAGAACAGAATATATAACGTCTGTCAGACTATTAACAAGCCTAACTAAGCAAACAACCAATCATTATCTTCTCGTCCACACATCACAGTGTTTATTACCTTCATCCTAATTCGAAAATCTTCGCTATCACCAATTCTCCAGACCGAAATATACAGTGCTACCTATGAAGTTACGTAAATCAGAATATTTAGAGTGAATGAAGTTAGTGAGTTGTATGTTAAGAAAAGTTATCAGTGAATTGATAGTCGTGATTTATCAATAAAACAACCCGATCAAGCGATTGTTCCGAATGATTTTAGAAATCAGTGTACAAACCACATAAATTTAATTGTACGAAATAATCGTTAGTGTCACAATTGATTGATCACTGGGTGGTGATCAATGTCATGCGAGTCAGGTCTTTCTTAGTACTGATCGAATACTATCGATTACACCTCAGTCCTACAGGAGGTCGGTCGCGGCCCGAGTAGCTCAATGATAACGTCTCTGACTGTGAAGCTGAGTGACACGGGATCGAATCCGTCAGGGGGCAGAAGTTCCCTCAAGATTACAGGTACACATTGCTAACGAGTGCCAAGTGGAACGAAACCCGGGTCCAGGGTTTCCTGTTGACCACCTACAACCATCATCTTAATCGTTAGTGTTTCGATTACAAAATTGGAGTATTAGCCAAATAATTTAAAAACTGACCTTTGACTTCCAAACTATGACGTGTTATCAGATAAGAATTCACAAATGAAATCGCAGACTGCTATACTTTTTACAAGTTATTTGACATCATCGAGACAAGGTAAGCAATCAAGTGAGATTTACTCAAAGAATGAAGAAGCCGAACAATTTCTATATATTCACGTGGAGTCGATTTGTCCTCTAATTAAGAAATTTCTAGCAATTAGTGTATCACTGACACTCCACATATTGGAGAGTATAAATCAGAATCATCTATGAATTATTCTCGTCAAATTATTATTAACGGTATTATAGTTTGGTACTTTACAATTAATTCATAATTTTCACAGTTGAAATCATGAGTCAATTGAAGCTAGACCACCATCGAAAACCTGGAAGCACTGGACGGCCGTTTCGTCCTATTATGGGACTCCTCAGCAGTGCGCATCCACGAACCCGCTCTCGCGAGCGACATTCGAACCCAGGACCTACCAGTCTCGAGCCGAAGCCCTTAACCGATAGACCACTGAGCTGGCATCCAACGGTGTTAATGTCTAACTTCAACCAATCCACGATATTGAGCGACCGTTCACCAATTGTCTTCAGTGAGATGATATCTCTACAACAGACCTGGTAGAACTCCACTGGCCACTGCTTCCCACTAGAACTCAAGGAAATATCTCTTGAAGTCAGTCACTAGTGAGCATATGATTATAGATCAGAGGGGGTTTTGTGGAGAATTTAGTATTTTCACAGTTGAAATCATGAGTCAATTGAAGCTAGACCACCATCGAAAACCTGGAAGCACTGGACGGCCATTTCGTCCTATTATGGGACTCCTCAGCAGTGCGCATCCACGAACCCGCTCTCGCGAGCGACATTCGAACCCAGGACCTACCAGTCTCGAGCCGAAGCCCTTAACCGATAGACCACTGAGCTGGCATCCAACGGTGTTAATGTCTAACTTCAACCAATCCACGATATTGAGCGACCGTTCACCAATTGTCTTCAGTGAGATGATATCTCTACAACAGACCTGGTAGAACTCCACTGGCCACTGCTTCCCACTAGAACTCAAGGAAATATCTCTTGAAGTCAGTCACTAGTGAGCATATGATTATAGATCAGAGGGGGTTTTGTGGAGAATTTAGTATTTTCACAGTTGATATCATGAGTCAATTGAAGCTAGACCACCATCGAAAACCTGGAAGCACTGGACGGCCGTTTCGTCCTATTATGGGACTCCTCAGCAGTGCGCATCCACGAACCCGCTCTCGCGAGCGACATTCGAACCCAGGACCTACCAGTCTCGAGCCGAAGCCCTTAACCGATAGACCACTGAGCTGGCATCCAACGGTGTTAATGTCTAACTTCAACCAATCCACGATATTGAGCGACCGTTCACCAATTGTCTTCAGTGAGATGATATCTCTACAACAGACCTGGTAGAACTCCACTGGCCACTGCTTCCCACTAGAACTCAAGGAAATATCTCTTGAAGTCAGTCACTAGTGAGCATATGATTATAGATCAGAGGGGGTTTTGTGGAGAATTTAGTATTTTCACAGTTGAAATCATGAGTCAATTGAAGCTAGACCACCATCGAAAACCTGGAAGCACTGGACGGCCATTTCGTCCTATTATGGGACTCCTCAGCAGTGCGCATCCACGAACCCGCTCTCGCGAGCGACATTCGAACCCAGGACCTACCAGTCTCGAGCCGAAGCCCTTAACCGATAGACCACTGAGCTGGCATCCAACGGTGTTAATGTCTAACTTCAACCAATCCACGATATTGAGCGACCGTTCACCAATTGTCTTCAGTGAGATGATATCTCTACAACAGACCTGGTAGAACTCCACTGGCCACTGCTTCCCACTAGAACTCAAGGAAATATCTCTTGAAGTCAGTCACTAGTGAGCATATGATTATAGATCAGAGGGGGTTTTGTGGAGAATTTAGTATTTTCACAGTTGATATCATGAGTCAATTGAAGCTAGACCACCATCGAAAACCTGGAAGCACTGGACGGCCGTTTCGTCCTATTATGGGACTCCTCAGCAGTGCGCATCCACGAACCCGCTCTCGCGAGCGACATTCGAACCCAGGACCTACCAGTCTCGAGCCGAAGCCCTTAACCGATAGACCACTGAGCTGGCATCCAACGGTGTTAATGTCTAACTTCAACCAATCCACGATATTGAGCGACCGTTCACCAATTGTCTTCAGTGAGATGATATCTCTACAACAGACCTGGTAGAACTCCACTGGCCACTGCTTCCCACTAGAACTCAAGGAAATATCTCTTGAAGTCAGTCACTAGTGAGCATATGATTATAGATGAGAGGGGGTTTTGTGGAGAATTTAGTATTTTCACAGTTGATATCATGAGTCAATTGAAGCTAGACCACCATCGAAAACCTGGAAGCACTGGACGGCCGTTTCGTCCTATTATGGGACTCCTCAGCAGTGCGCATCCACGAACCCGCTCTCGCGAGCGACATTCGAACCCAGGACCTACCAGTCTCGAGCCGAAGCCCTTAACTGATAGACCACTGAGCTGGCTGGATTGGTTGAAGTTAGACATTAACACCGTTGGATGCCAGCTCAGTGGTCTATCGGTTAAGGGCTTCGGCTCGAGACTGGTAGGTCCTGGGTTCGAATGTCGCTCGCGAGAGCGGGTTCGTGGATGCGCACTGCTGAGGAGTCCCATAATAGGACGAAACGGCCGTCCAGTGCTTCCAGGTTTTCGATGGTGGTCTAGCTTCAATTGACTCATGATTTCAACTGTGAAAATACTAAATTCTCCACAAAACCCCCTCTGATCTATAATTCATAATTGTCAATCTTTTGTACGATTGAACATATCTGGTTGTAGTAATGTGCAGACTACCATGAAACTATGGAGACCAGAACATTTAGACCATTACTTTTTACCCCTGTTCCATTTATACTACTTTTCCTTTATTTCACGCCTGTTACTCCCAATGGAGCATAGGCCGCCGACTAGCATTCTCCAACCCACTCTTTCCTAGGCCTTCCTTTATAGTTCTATCCAGTTTTTCTTCATTTTTCTCATATCTGTCTCCACTTCTCGGTTAGTGTGTTCTTTGGTCTTCCTCTTTTCCTTTGGCCTTCAGGATTCCGTGTGAGAGCTTGTCTTGTGATGCAGTTGGGTGATTTCCTCAATGTGTGTCCTATCCACATAATATTGATACATATTTATTATCCGTTTTGACAAAATTATTCCTATTAGTAACTTAATCATATTTCTGAGTAATGTCTAGAGCGTGTTCTGTCATACTCAGGATTAATCAGCTGAATGCACACTTAAATGCCGATATTTAAAAGTAGTTTATATCATGGAAACAACCTAGTTAGACAACTGTTGTGAGCTGAAGAACATTATAAAAGTGCTTTTTCCTAGTGTAGGACTCTACAACTTTATCAGAAATCGAACGAAACAACTTTACGGCTTACAAGTTGATCGTGGGTGATTGAATCGGCATTCACCCAAAGCCAATCTATGAATGTCAACTAAATTCCAACCAAACAATCTGAGCGTATGATCTATGCTAATTAAAAATATTATCCTTCAAAAAGCATCACAATGTAACAATCCTAGACTCAACTTTGCAGTAAATGAGAAACTAGTGATAGGTAACTAACCCCCACAATATCATTATTATCCCTCTATACGTAATCCCCCCCCGCACCCACTAAATAAACAACAGAGAAACAAACAAAACTAGAAAGAGAGAAAAAGAAACACACCCTTCATTTATATTCAGTGGCAAGTTAAAAAGTAAACAACAACAACAACAACAACAACAAAATCATGTTATATCGTTCTTATATAATACAGGTAGGTATTAGAATTGTCTCTTGTCAAAAAACAAAAAAAAACAAAGATTGATAATGAAATTAAGAAGTGTGTATGAGTGCATATATGAATATAGATTGTGATAGAATGTAAGAAAAGAGGGAGGAAAACAAACAAACAGGATAGATATATAGGAGATCGTGTGCGCATATAAATAAGAACTATCATTCAACCTTCTCTATTATCAAAGAAAGATATGGTAATCATGTTTGAGTGTGTGTATATGTATAACATTGAACTATATTTGAAATCAAAAGATGAAATGTTTGTTTGTTTATTTGTTTACTTTTTCTTTTTTTTTAAAAAAAAAAAAGACAAAATGGTTAATCAGCTGCATAGTTTAAAGTGTATACAAAACAAATTTACCCCCCCCCCATTATATGCACACAATATCAATATTTACTTAATTATAAGTAATGGGAATAAGAAAAAAAATGAGATAAAATAAACAATTACATAGTGCTCCTCTATGATTGGCTTATATTTTAACACACACACACACACACACATTTCCAATCATATTTATACATATACAAGCATATATATATATAATAACTTTAAAAGAACCTATAGAGTAAGGAGAACATGAATGTAATTGTAACGAAATCGTGGGGGGATAGTAACAAAAAAAAATCATTACAATAATAATGGAAAGGGGGTTTTCAATGTTTATAAAACAAATTGTATAGATAGAGTAAATGGTATCAATGAACCATTATGTATATTTGCAAGTTGAACAATTTTAAAAGTACTAATGAAAGAAAAACTCTAACATGATAAAATAATAATAATAATAATAATGATGATGATGTAAAAAAAAAAGAAAAGAAATCAATAATCAATCAATCGATCAATTAATCAATCAATCGATTCATTCATTCATCTTTATAAATTGAATTAAGAAATGATGAAACGAATAACTAATGATGATCAGTTTGATACATTCTCATTTCTTAGATAGATGTATCATAAAATATCATATACAAGAAAGAAAATTCTAAAGAAACAGAAAGAATAAATGAATCATGAATGACTGGATATCAAAGAAAAAAGGGTAGAAGGAAAGAGATAGAGACCCGCCGCACATACACACACATGTGTATTATTATACAGTAACTATGCATAAACACAATGACAACACTACCAATAATAATGATCATCCTAGTTTGAACATGTACATACACACACATGTAAGGAATAAGTGATGTCATTCTACCATAGTTTACTTATAAAGAGGCAAAAAGACAAAAAATTAAAGGAGTAGAAATCATCAGAATCAGAAGGCAAATTAACAATTTGTCAATAAACAAACAAACAAACAAACACATACACACACATACATATACACGCAACATGAATACTGGGAACTATGAAAGAAACAATACTTCTTTTAATTAGATCAGTTTATTTTGTAACTAAGGCAATTATGAAAATAAATAGAGAGAGAAAGAGAGTAACAGTGTGATACTTTGGCAATAAAGTAAGTGAGGGATGATATACACATGCATAATTAACAAATACTACAAGAATTTTAAATTCTCGTCATTAATAATAATAATAATAACCATCATTACCAACATCCATAAAGGCAGTAATATTCGTAGGCAAGTGGATTTAACAAAGTGCCGAAGAAAGTAAACAAAAGAAACTATATCAGAAATCATTTTGCCTTACGCCCCCCCCACACACACACAACAGAAAAGCACAACGATCATGTTGCCAAGGAAAAGGAGTCGAAAACGATGATGATAACAATGAAATAGGAGTAAGACTAAAATTTAGAGTCAAATGTTCATTTGAGTTCACACTAAAGCATAAAAATGGAAAACAGAGAGAGAGAGAGAGAGACCAAGGAATGAAAAGAAAAGTTTTAAAAAAAATTGTACTTCATTCATTATATTTAATGAACACTTTTATGTATTAAATACAAATGAGTTATGTTACATATAATCATAAACTTATCTTATAATCCAGAAATGTATATACAAAGAGAACCAATCGTGTAACCATGATAGGATGGGGAGAAGAAAGGACAAAACAAAACAAGTTCCCATTATAAATCAAATACAACTGTTGATACCATTATTATTCATGATATAAGACAAATATGCACATATGATGTTTGATTAAGGGAAAAGAAATGAGATCCAATATTTTGGTTAAAAAAAAAGTCTTGATGTTAGTGTATGTATGTGTGTGTATGTTTAAAGTGATCAATGATAACTTGTTTTATACTTTTCAAACAACGGATGATGAATAAGGTTGCGTTGAAGATGTTGATGAGGATGATGATGACATAGAAGATATAGGTAATGAATTATCATAAGTATCTTGTGATTGTCTAAGTATACTTCTATTTCCACTACCATTATTATTATTATCCACCATACCAATTGTTCCAAATGATGTATCCGATGGATGGTTACCAGTAACTGATGGTAATGTGTTTAATGAGAAGTTAGTATTATTACTATTATTAGTATTATGCATTTGACCAGAATACATTTCTCGACTTGCATTTGTTGATGCTGATGATGATGACATCGAAGTGAATGTCATTTGATTGCCAGTCGATTGATGAGGATACCAGTTTGATCTACTATTATTACTACTACTATTATTATTGTTGTTAACCATCATCATTTGTTGAGATTGTTGTGGATGGGACGGCAAGGCATGATGTTGTGAATGGGAATTCAATGAAATATTATGTTTCATCTCACCATTCATAGGATTTACTACTGATGGACGTTTATGATTACTATTATTAACGTTAGGTGTTGAGTTACCACTATTACTGTTAGCATTAGTAGTATGTCCTATATTTGTAGAATTTTCCATCATACTACCAACAGCACCACTAACAGATATATTATCTACAATATTATTACTATGACTACTATACATTGTAGAATTCAACGTAGAATTTGACATTACAAACTGTACTTGATTTGTAGAACTCCAATCACTATTATTACCATTATTACTACTACTACCGGAATAATCACACATGGATGATGAAGACATCATCATTTGATGATGTTGTTGTTGATGATGATAATACTGTTGATGAATTTGACTTGATTGGTGATGTTGTGGTTGTTGTGTAGATGATGAGGAGTAGGATTGAGGTTTACCACCATCGTTGATAGATGAATGACGGAGATATTGTTGTGAGTGTTGATTCATATGAACACGTTGTTGTACTGATGGTATATCGGATGAATTTGTGAACATTTGATGAGATATGATATCAGTGGATGGATCCATCTTAGTAGACATAGATGTTGATAATATGTCACTGTTATTATTACTATTATTATTGCTACAAGCTGAATAATTCATCTGAGTATCACGTATTACTGGGTGATTAATACTTCTACCCAAACGATTATCAGTGGGTTGACCTAGGGTTTCAAAAATATATAAGGTATTTAAAAGAAAACAATAATATCAAATATAACACTTTGTAAGAGAAAAATTGGTTGATGAAGGACTGTACATCTTTATGCCCTGGTACAGCCGAAAGTGGGGAGAGTCTGCTCTCTCTCTCTCCAAATGCTCTCACATGGCCACGCGTATATAGCCTCTACAAGGGAAGTCCTACTCACTGCTTTCTCGTGCCACAGGTGTTGTTTACGAAATTAAGAGGACGAAAAGCGTATGCCCGGTGATTTAACCGAGTTGGTGGACACAGAAAGTCCACCTAGGGGAGTTGGAAAACCCTGATTCCTAACCAATGGTGCATATGGACTCCAGTATCCTGAGGGAACAATTGGTGTATGAATCAATCGTTGGTCAACGACTACCATGGGACTGCATCTCCTCACGATGTTCCACTGCCTTGTGGATCAGACCTTTAGGTCAAAAACTCCGGGTGTGGTCCACTAAGAAAACCACCTGTTTCGGTGGTGGAGATGATGACTGTTGAATTTGAAGCTTCACATCATGAACTGACTTTGGAAAGATAAACTATGAAAACCAAGAAGCACTGAATAGCTGTTTCACCTTACTATGAAACTTGCCGAAAGTTCACATCCACATCAGTGATACTAATCGACTGTTTGAATTACAGATGTTTTGAGATCAGAAACGGCGATCTATCTACTAAATGAAAGTTAGATGCTTTAATTACTATATAGTCGATTTTCATCATTAATTTCACATTATATATTTCATGTTACATCTTCTACTACAATTGATATTATTACTATCGTGTTATCAACTTATTCACTTGTTCGCTCGTAAAATTTTCCCTAACTGTACTTTATGTAAATAAGGTAAGTTAAACGGATGCACAAATAGTGTGCTGTGGTCTACTTATACCCACATAAGTAGTATATGGTGATGGTCAGGCATAGAATGTCTTTTCGCAGAAGATCGATAAGGAAAGAACAGGGACGAAGCGCAATCGGTATGAAAATGCATGAACAATGAAATCAGAGGAGTTGAACTGATATTTGCAGAAGGAACAGTCAAGATTGAGACTATTGATTGTGATTTTACAAATTGACCGTTAACTGTATGATTATCAGATTTTAGTGAGATAGTTTGTAATTTGTGCTTAAATACATTCGACTGTTCCCAGTCGTCTTCTTGTTCACTATAATAGTACGTATATATGAAGAGGTGGAGAATTAAATAAGAAAGGTTATCTTAAGTCAAAAGAATTTTTTCTATATACCAAATTATAATACTTGGAGTTCAGTTGGTTATTGAAAGTATTAAAATTGATAATACTGTAATGTTCATTCTTTGTCCTTCATAATTGACCTGGTTATTATTATGCAAAGGAGGGAGACAAAAATCAATTGAATTGTATAGAATCGATCATGAAAATAGGTTTAACATAAAAAGTACATAAAAAAGGAATTCATAGCAACATGAAAAAAAAAGAAAACTCACTTGGATGATTACAATTTGAAGATTTAAAACCGGTTTCGTTAGTTGACGATGCTGTCAATGAATTTAGACCTAATGGATTTGAATCGAAACTTGTATCATTCCATCCAAATGTTGAATTATTACTGTTATTAATATTATGCCTTCCTCCACCAGGAAATTGACCAGTAATTTGAGAATGCTTACTTTGACCTTGAAGACTAGATGGATAAGTTTGTGGAATAACCGATTGAGAAGAGGATGAATAATGATGTTGATTTGAATTATAAAATTGTCCAGGAATATTTTGATTAGTAGGATAAGATTGATGATTTGACTGAAAGGTAGGATGGCGAATAGAGTTATCAGTAACATGCGAGGTGTTGTTATTATTATTATCTATATCAGATGGCATATATTGATAACTACGTACAGAACTAGATCTTTGTATTTGGTTTGGTCCAGGTGATATACCTGAAGGTCCTTGATTGTTAGAAACTTGAGGAGCGACAGTTGGAAGATATTGAATTGTATGTGGTGTTCTAGGGGTAATTTGAATACTTGCATTACCATAACCAGCACTACCCCCACCAACAACTGAGGATCCTAAAGGTGTACATGCAACAGATGAAGTAATTACTGAACTGGATGGAATAACTCCAGGAATTTCAGATTTTGAAGGACAATCAACAACACGTTGATGATGAGAATGATGATTAACTCCATCAGTATTGTATAACAATGGATGATTATTTGAAGTATATTCATTTGACGAATTTGTCATACGAATTGTACTATTATTATTATTATTGTTATCTGATTGTCGAACTGAACGTAAATGTTCATGAGATGATGGTGGTGGAACTGGATGTTGTGTTGTTGACGGTTGTTGTTGTGCAAAATGTATTTGCATTTGACCAGTTGATCCGGGTGCACTAACATGTTGATAATTCATTTGTTGTACATTTAATTGTGCATTAAAAAATGTATTATTCACCTGTAAATGTAAGTCAACACAATCAATGTTAACTTGTATATATAAACTCATAAACTAGTTTTTTCGCTGTTTGGAGAAACAAGAAACAAAAAATAATAATATCTGCAGTTACTGTGGCTAAAAAAATGATTTTGATCGTTCAGTCATCAGTTAATTTGACGTCCTAAGTAGGGGATGGAGTAGAAGAAATTTAGAAAGGTACAGGCTTCTGAACTCAGACGTGATATCAGTCCATTATCAAATTACTGACAGTTTAAAAAAGTAGTGTTTCTTGATACAGACTAACTGGTTAAGATACGTACGATAACCTTGTTCAGTATTTGAAGATATTGGATGAAATGACTCAGAATCGGTCATAGTGATGTAGATCCATTTACTTTTTATCTCCCCCTCTACATCTTGAGTTCCAGTATTCTTTTATATACACTTTTAACTCATTATTCTTGAATTATATTCTAAATGTTTAATCTTCCTGGGTATCAGTACTCCTGAAATTATTTCAGTTCATTAGCTGGTCATCTTTTTAACTTGTCCAGTCATCGATGCAGAATGTAACAACTTCAACCGATACATACTCGTGCCAGATGCTTTGTGGACAATGACTAATTTTTATGAAAAAATGACGTCGTCAGCTGAAGAGTTAAAAACAGAGAATAACTAAACAGCTATCTCATTGTAAGGCTCCTTAAATTGGCAATACATCTGCTTCACCTAACTTTGAATCCTCATCTGAAGCATTCTGGTATTGTAATAAGTACAATATACACTACGACCACTAAATCAGAATACAACATACCTCTATACTGACAATTCCAATCAATTTTTTTAATTGTAACTTTGATAGGACTAGTAATCATCATTAATATTTGTTGGTAAAAATGATAATTTTTCCGATTTTTTATTTATTTACATTTTGTTTCGTTAAACTTTTTAAGAAATAGAGAATGACCTTGGCGGGTTTTTTTGTTTAAAATCAACATTACAACATAACAAAAACCGAATTTATAGTATCTATGTGATTTAAAATAAATCAATAGAACATTATTCAACTTCTAACACTCTCTTCGACTGAATTTTCAGGAATTGATCTCCTACCAGGGGGACCACTAAGCGACTTAGAATACGCAGATGACATAGTCCTGTTTGGTGAAGACGCTGGCAAAATGCAGTCTTCTGTTGGAACTCCGTAATAATGCCAGGATGTTTGGGATGCGTTTCTCCCCATCCAAATGTAAATTGTTACTCCAGGACTGGCCTGCGTCAACACCTGAACTAAGGATAGGGAGTGAAGTAGTCGAACGCGTGGACAACTTCACTTGTCTTGGAAGTCTGATCAGCCCTAATGGGTTGGTGTCTGACGAAATCTCAGCACGGATTCAAAAAGCTCGTTTGGCTTTTGCCAACTTACGTCACCTATGGCGAAGACGAGATATCCGTCTATCAATTAAAGGACGAGTATACTGCGCAGCAGTTCGCTCTGTTCTACTTTACGGTTGTGAAACATGGCCATTAAGAGTAGAAGATACTCGTAGGTTACTAGTATTTGACCACAAATGCCTTAGAAATATTGCACGCATTTGCTGGGATCACCGGGTAAGTAATAGTGAGGTTAGACGCAGGGTATTAGGGAACGATGGTAAATCAGTTGATGAGGTGATGAATCTTCATCGACTGAGATGGTTGGGCTACGTGTTACGTATGCCTGAACACCGATTACCACGACGCGCTATGCTGACTAGTGTAGGGGATGGCTGGAAGAGCGTTAGGGGCGGCCAAACCAAAACATGGCATCAGTGTTTGAAGTCACTAACTTCTAGTCTGAGCCATGTTGGCAGATGCAGACTACCTGGTTGGGGTCCGCGTGACTATCGTAACCAATGGTTGGAGACTCTATGTGACATGGCTCAGAATCGATCACAATGGCGTAGGTCTATACACTCTTTATCTTCCCTTAAACCTTGAGATTAAAATTGCTTCATAACTTTTTTTCTTCCTATACTATATCCTTCTATACAATCTTTCTTTATATACTACCACCACTAAATTAATTGCTTCTATGAATCCGGTGTTCATCTTGTTGTGCTAACGAGGTATGGCAACTTGGACCGATGCATTAATGTGCCTGGTCCTACGTTGTAGCTGACTCACTGACTATTCAACTTCTAACTAACTAACTAACTAACTAACTAACCAATTCATCTCAAACTTATTTCATTCAATTCTGTTTCACTGGTATAGAAAAAGGTTGAAGATTGTGCACGATTATTGAAATAAATGGAGTAGAAATTTTGAATAATAGTAATGATAATTATTATGATTACTGACTCGTGTTGACGATCGACGGTTGTTTCGTTCTATTTTAAAATTCTTAACAAATATACAACTTCTGATGTTTTTAAAGAAATAGAAACATAAACTTTAAAGTTTTATGGCAACAGCAGTAACGTTTTGAAATATGACACTGGATGATGAAAGTTACAATCATAAGGGAACTAGTAATCTCCTTAATACTCCGATGTGTTACTGAGTACTAACTGAAATTAACGGGAATGTAGATGATACCTAGAAGCGTTGGTTGACCTTTACTATCGTGACAACTCAGTTGAGTTATAATAATTGAAATACTTCATAAATTAAGGTTTTACTATTTCAGACAGAACGGTTGAACAGAAATTAAAAAACGAGCGTAGCTAATTCAAACTTTCAGGGCAAAGTCGTACTAGGATGTGGTGTCAGTAAGATATTTCCCGTAGATAACTGATATAACTGACAAGGCGCTAGTAGTTATATATATCTCTTAACAACCTACTGTAGGAGAGAACAAACAAGATTCCAGAAATCAGGAAGAAGCGCTCGAAGTGGATAGAAAACACATTAAAGAAAGCACCCAACTGCGTCATAAGGCAAGCCCTCACTTGGAATTCTCAAAGCCAAAGGAAAAGAGAAAGACCAAAGAACACACTACGACGAGAAATGGAGACATACATGAGAAAAAAGGAACAAAAGTTGGATAAAACTGAAAAGGAAGGCCCAGGACAGAGTGGGTTGAAGAGAGTGCTGGTCGGCGGCCTATGCTCCATTGGGAGTAACAGCCGCAAGTAAGTAATTAAGCAGGAAGCTAGTACAACCAGAATTACTTACGGAAATGTTGTAGATTACCAGATACATCCAGTAATCCCTTTGACTCCTTGGTGAACTAGACCATTATTATCAACACTGTTTTTTCACATCCCACGAGGTTAAATATCATCCGAATCCGGGGAGGAGCAAGAAGCAACATCCCACCGAGGACAACTTTAGCAGTAACCTGGTCAGTTTCACTTTACAATAAAAGCTATTCTCAAATTGAACGATCTCCGCAAAAAACATCAAGCACAAATAGACAGAGTAAAAGTATGGTACTTACTTGAATTGAGGGAGGCTGTTGTTGAGATGGTGTTGGCAAATTAGGAAGTGGAGAAGGAAGTGAAGAACCACAATTAGTGACAGTGCCCATAGGATTTTGTGGTTGTTGTTGTTGTAATGTTGGTTGAAGTTGTGGATTTGTATGGGGATAGCCTTGGGGATTAAATTTAGAATTTATTGGAATACTTTGAGAATGAGGTAAATTACAATTATTAGGAGTCATATTAGGTGATAATGATTGGTTAGGATTGCATAAATGTGATTTTAGGCTACAATTTCCAGGACTTGAGTTTTGGTTGCGTGCACCTTGAGATATAATATGATGTGCTCCTTGAGGTGGTGCTGGTATAACGGGACTTCCATCTAGATGAAAAGGAGGCAAAGATCCACCACGATTTGAGTGGACAGTATGACTATGTATTGAACCAAGACTATTCCCATTGCTTGAATTATAAAATGAGGCTGAACATGATGGAATGTACGGACCTTCAGGTCCAGACATTTGAGATAATCGTGCTAAACTAGCTAAACTAGCAGAAGTTAAATGCTGTGTGCATGGAGTACTACTAGGAGTTGTCCTCATAGTAATAGAATCTGGATTTGGTCCCATCATATCGGGTGAATTGAAATATGGATGATTCATCGGTTTATTCGTATTAGCATTGTTTCCGTAATTATTAATTGGACCATAGTTTGTATTGCAATTTAAACCTGTACGACTTCCAAGATTTGAGATGGAACATGATACACTTGGACTGATAGTACCACCAGGAAATGGTTCACCACTACTTTTTGGCGTACCAGCATGACGAGAATTGACCAACATCATCATTTCCATATTCCCAGATTGTTGTTCAACTGGAATTTGTCCAGAATTCGGTCCACATATCATGTCCTTAAAATAATTAAGAACAATAGGAAATCATTTAAATATAGTGATCGATCAAACAAATAACTTGATCAAATTGTAGATTACATAGAAAATTAGTAACTCCAGTCATAATATATTAAACATCGACTTTAATTATTTATCAAGATGAAAATAATCGTGTACTTAGTGTACAGTGTTTATTCACCCAAAACAAGACCACACTTCAAGGAGTAAAGAAAGCTGCTGCTAATAATAATAATAGTGCCCATAAATGCCCTGGTACGGCCGAGAGTATGGAGAGTCCGCTCCCCTCTCGAAATGTTCTCATATGATCACGCGAATATATAGCCTCTGCCAGGGAAGTCCTACTCACTGCAAGAGATATGCTATGTACCTCAGAATCCGAACTTAACAACGAGGCATTCATTAACTTTTTCACCAATAATAAACGGGGTAAACTACTTAAATCAATCAAAGAAATGTAAAATAATTTGGAAGAAATTCCATCATATCTGATTATTAGCAGTATTTATATACAGATCTTTCTTGTGACGGTTGTTAGTTTCTGATACAGATTGGTAAATAATTTAAAACATTGAATAAATGTTTTGTCTTGACCAAAACATGGCCGAAATCCATGAAATCACTGACAAGTGGACTGAGCCATGTTGGTAGGTGTAGGCTACCTGGTTGGGATCCGCGAGATGATAGCAATCGATGGTTAGAGACCTTGAATGACATGGCTCAAAATCGTTTGCAATGGTGAATGTGCATCCACTCTTTGTGTTCTACCAAATTCTAATCTTCTGAATTCTTCATGTCTCTATCTTTATTATTCTCTTTCTAAATTTATTTCACTGGATTATACTCCTTCAATAACATCTCCAAACCCTAATCATTCCGATTACTGCTTATACTCTTACTACCTACACTACTATGGGATTTAAACTGAAAACTGCATCTCTGTTCTAATGTGGTATGGCAACTCGAACTAATGTACTTACGTACGAAGTTTTACGTTGTGACTGACCGACTTGTCTTGACTCCAGACTGATCAAGTGTCGTAAAAATGCTACTGAATTGGAGTGCAACGAATTCAGATATCTAACTCCAGCGATATACCCTGACAGTCGCCCTTTAATAACCCTATCTTTTTGATATCCTGGAAATCTACGCAGATAAAGAACAGCTACAGATCTAATTGTAAACGTCATAAACCAGGTTTTTAACTGTTTCTAAGGTAGATAATGTATAATTCCGTTTAATTTAACGAATAAACAAATGTATATTTTTCAAAGTTGAAATCATGAATCGATTGAAGCTAGAGCACCATCGCAAACCTGGAAACACTGGACGGCCAACTCGTCCTATTATGGGACTCCTCAGTAGTGCGCATCCACGATCCCGCACACGCGAGTTTCGAACCCAGGACCTACCAGCCTCGAGCTACAGCCCTTAACCGATAGACCACTGAGCCGGCATTCAACGGTGTTAATGTATAACTTCAACCGCGCACTGCTGAGGAGTCTCATAATAGGACGAGTTGGCCATCCAGTGCTTTCAGGTTTTCCATGGTGGTCTAGCTTCAATCGACTAATGATTTCAACTTTAAAAAATACTGAAATCTCCACAAAACCCCTTCTGATTAAAATGTATATTTATTTGGAGATTAAACAACCTAGAAAAATGAAAACGAACGAAAAACAAAACAACAATAAATTAATCAAAGAGTAAATAAAAATAAACAATATCTACCACTTATAAATACACAGTAGTGTAAAGTACACATGCACAAACAAACAAACACTTCCCAACTATTATATACAGTAGGTCAGATTAGTTTTTAAAGTCAAGGCTAAAAAGAGAAAAGAACACATGTGAATGAGTGATCCTGCCATACACTAACACACATACACATACGTAAGGAAAACTATATCGAGTTTATTTCTGCCATTCTTCCATTCATCCTAACTACGATCTGATACTTTTCTCATTTTCTCTCTCACTCTGTCTCTTCATTTGTAAACAAATTTTTTTTAGAAAAAAATAGCAATAAATAAATAAATAAGAACAGTATTAAGCAGGAACGAACAAATGAACAAACAAACGAACGAAAAAAACGCCTATACAACCCTATAAAGAAAAAAAATTTCAATAAAGGAAGACAACAACAAAAATTAAAGGGCAATATGCTAGAGATTGTTGTAAACGAATGAATCAACCACTAGATGGATGAATATAAGGCCATAATAATAATAATAATGGTGGATGAGCTAAGAAGAGGGCAAAGAGGTAAACACAGTAGTACTATTTACTACGGTTAATAATAATAATAATAATGGGTAAACAGTGAACACAATTAAAAGAAGCGCTAAGGATATATATATATATATATATATATATATATATATATATATATATATATATAGGATGCGAATCCCTGTCAATGCACGTATGCCTATTTACATTGGATGTATGGATGTGATTCAGTGATATGGAGTGTTGTAAAATAAGGATAAGATCAAATAAAAGAATCAAAGTATTGGGGAAGTAGAAGGGAGAAATATACACCATTGTAGCATCCATATACAAGTTTAGATAAATTCAAATTATGATGAGTAAAATTATTTTTTTTTGGTTCATTTACGTTTCTAGTGATTTAGCTAATAACTAGGACAAATTATTAGTTCTCGCTTACAAGGTATTACCACATTTCATCTGTGAAATAACCACAGTAACAGCAAGCAATAAGAATGAATCTATAGAAAAAGATTTTCAAGGAAATTACGAAATTATCCTACTTGAACGGTTAGTACGAATAACTCTGAAATGATATATATATATATATATATATATATATATATATATATAGTTGAAATCATGAGTCAATTGAAGCTAAACCACCATGCAAAACCTGGAAGCACTCTGGACAACCGTTTCATCCTATTGTGGGACTTTTCAGCAGTGCACATCTACGATCCCACACTCACGAGATTCGAACCCAGGACCTACCAGACTCGCTCCAGAGCACTTAACCGATAGACCACTGAGCTGACCGGTATCCAACGGTGTTAATGTCCATCTTCAACCAATCCACGAAGTTGAGCAACCATTTCACTTGGCAATCTAGATCATTCAATTATATAAATTCTTTTGAAAAATAACTAATTAAATGAATATCGACGTGGTTTAGTAGTTAACTTTTAGTTACTAAGTTAAATGTTCGAAACTCGCTCTAGTTATTTAACTTTGAACGATTGGGCAATGTTAACTGGTCCTCCAAAAAATATAACATGAGGCAGAACAAAAAGAATACACGTATCTATAACTGGTAATGAGATAATAATAAAGAGTCAGTCAGTCAGTTACAACGTAGGACCAGGCACATTTATGCATCGGTCCAAGTTGCCATACCTCATTAGCACAACAAGATCAACACCGGATTCATAGAAATAGTTAATTTAGTGGTGATAGTATATAAAAGATAGGTTGTATATAAGAATATAGTATAGGAAGGAAGAACGTTATGAAACAATTTTAATCTTAAGGTTTAAGGGAAGATAAATAGTGTATACACCTACGCCATTATGATCGATTCTGAGCCATGTCACCTAAAGTCTCCAACCATTGGTTACTATAGTCACGCGGACCCCAACCAAGTAGATTTGTTACTATATTGGTTATTTTACACTAAAATTATTTTACTATAACCGAACATATGATCTTGAATAATGTGATTATTAATATTATTATTATTACTAAATAAGGAACATGTAAGTAATGTGATGTAATCGAAATCGCGTTTAACTGTCTCATCTGATATCACAGACGTAGAAAGTATCACCTTAAAATTTACCCAATATTATTATTACTATTATTATTGTTATTATGGTCAGTCAGTCAATCACAACGTAGAATTTCGTACGTACATACATCAGTTCGAGTTACCATACCACATTAACACAAAGATGCAGTTGTCCATTCAAATCTCATAGTGATAGAAGTAGTAAGATTGTTATTATGGTTTTTTTTTTATTTTTCAAGTTTCATAAATAATAAACCAGACTACAATAAAACAATAAAAAGAGGGGTAAACACACACACACACACACAAGAAACTGTAACATGAATCCTTTCATAAAAGAAAAAAAAAACACAATCACGTTACTCTCATTTAGCTTTACTATATGTTCATTTATGTATGTACATACATAGACAAGACAAGATAATATTCCATTTCCACAAATTAGTATGATTATTAATTTTTTTTTTGCCCCAGACGAGATTTTACAAAACTGATTAAAATCCATGTCTATTCCCTAATTCATTTGGATAGCTCTCTTTCTCTTAATAAGTAAACAAAAGGTTCAAACATAACCAACAATTCAGACAACAAAGGAATACTACTACTTCCTAGTCTTACTAAATGTAGTCAATAAATAGTGCAATAATGATATAAATATATATGCATATAATAAACCAAAGATAAACAATAAGTAAGCCATATTAGAAAGAAAAAGATAACAATAAAGTGGACACAACAAAGAATATAAAGATATGGGATGTATATGGGTGAATGATGATGATGATGATTGGAGGATAAACTAAACTTGACCTGATGAATGTTTTTTCCTTCTCTCTCTCTCTCTCTATAACAGTAGGTGGTCTTAAATGTCATAGTTCACATAGAAGAAAGTGTATCTCATTATTTTTATATGAATAAATAGGACTGCTTGCCTATACATACATAATCATTCGACAACAAGGTCACAATAAGATCAATACAATCATCAAATAAATAAACACACTTAAACACATTGAGAAAAGATTTAATTGAAAAACAAGTTAGTTAGTTGAAGTTAGACATTAGCATCGTTGGATGCCGGTCAGTTCAGTGGTCTATCGGTTAAGTGCTCTGGAGCGAGACTGGTAGGTCCTGGGTTCGAATCTCGTGAGTGTGGGATCGTAGATGTGCACTGCTGAAAAGTCCCACAATAGGACGAAACGGTTGTCCAGAGTGCTTC